AGAACAGATGCTGCTCAGCATTCAAAAGGAGCTGCTTCAGATCTGGGCTCTTTTTCTCCCTCTTCCTCCTATTACGGGGTCAGGTCAGTGCTGTGCAGCCTGTCAGTGTAAAAAAAATATTTTAAAAATCATAATTCAGAAATCTGGTATTCCCAAAGAAGCTGCAGTTTGTGCATGAGCATCACAGCTGAGTGTTACGAGTCTCACAAAGCAGAGAGGGGAAAGAGTCAAAAATGAAACTCACCACACCAGCAAAATAAAAATATGACGCAGTAAATTAATGATGTTGCTCCAATTTGAGAAAACACTAATTAAGAATGTGTAATTGAATTAATGCATTATTTAGAAACCCCAGCAAATCCTGAGTGGGAATATAAATACATTGTAGGGTTCCTTTGACATTAAGTCTCTCTCATACCTCACTACCCACAATTTATTTTAATGTCACCCGAATCTCCAGATTTATTTCTGTCCTTGCCATTGACCACTGCTTTACATTTATCCCACATATCAATATCCTCTCTCCTCAATTCCACACACTCAAGTGCTCCATATGGGGTGGTGATCACCATTTGATAAGTCATAAGTAAGTGCAATTAATTAGCTCAGCTCATCAACCACTTCCCCTCCCAATGCCCTGCAGCCACAGATCTGGGTCTAATTTGTTTAGAGCCTGGAAAAACATCAAATACCTCATTAGAAAATAAATCCATCTCCTAGAAATACATTTTTTCTACAGCTTCAAGTGTCAGTTTGCTTCATGTTACACTGGGAAAGGCCCTGCACATGCAGGATATAAACCCAGCCCAGAATAGGTCAAGAAACCAATATCATCACATCGTGAAAATAGAACAAAACAGTATCTCAGGGGAAAGGGGGGGGAAAGTCAGCCCCTCAAATGTATCACAGTACCTGTGAAACGTCCTGAGATCATGCATTTGCAGCTGGGATGGTTTAGGGGAGCTTTGGGTATTTAGCAAGAGGCTTTACAAACATTATTATCTCCTCATTTTGAGCCCTTCAGAGCAAGGGTTAGAGTTCTTATTACCATTTCTAGGAAGAGATACAAATATACCAAAAAAAAGAAAGAAATCCAGTTAAATTGTTTAAAACTGCTAAAGAGTCTTTTAAGGAAAGGAGCAAGAAAAATAATGCAGGCAAATCCAAGTTCACAGATGTACATATGGCTCTGGGAAACGGAAAAATAAAAGCAGCACTAAAGTGCCTTGTGTTAGGTATGAGCATACACTGTAGCAAAATATGCATGCTGTTTATAAAACATATTGGAAGACTTTTCCCTATAAGATGCCACAGAGAGTATAAAATTTTATGATCTCTGCCTGTCCATTTTACAAAGATATACACAAACAAGTAGCCAAATCTGCCTGCAGTTTAACTCCATTAAATCCAATGAATGAGTTTGGCCCATGAAAACTCTGCACTTACTGTAATAAAGTTAAAAGCTGATAGCAGCTGATACAGTAAAACACATACATTTCCATACACTTATTCCTGCAGATTTAAAAATACGAATGAGTTCAGAGATTACCCTTGTCCAGCTCATAAAGAAATGCTGGAATAGGAAAGAAAAAAAACCAGAGCTTGGAGATTTTCCCACTGACTCCCTCTAAGCACAGAAGAGAGAGGGGTAGGGGAAACCAGCAGAATTGTGGTCATTTGGCTTTTGTGGGAGCCCTGAACACATCAAATGTGTGTGTTAGAACAAACCCCGGATGGTTTGGTCCCCAAGAGGGGCAGGACCCACCCAGCAGGAGCAGAGGTCACAGCCCTGGCACCATTTCTGCCTCATCAGTGCCCAGAGAGGACAAGGAGCTCTCAGGGCACAGATGGGATGCTCTGCTCCCTGAGGGAGCTGTCCACACCTCCATCAGCTGAGGGCTTTCCTCATGAGCACTGGTTCTACAGCCACTGGGCCATCTGTAACTGTACCTTGAGCCTCACATTGCACAGGGGACCAGACCCAATAGTGCCCAGGCCAAGCCCAAGCAACAGATTTCAGCCTGCCCCTGACTGATAGGCATTTTGCGTTTGGTTATTGAGGTGGTTTTTTAAACACGCAGCTTTCTCACAGGCTCCTGCCATAACCACACCAACTCCCATCTCCACCTCCCCAGCTTCCTTACCCAGGCTCCTAAACCGCCTGCACCCCAGTGCCACCTCCCCCAGAGCCTCCTGCCCCAGCTCCTCGTGGCGCATGGAGGCTCCAGGTCCCCTCACCTGGAGCCAACTCCCCCAACTGCTTTCTTTGATATTGATTATTGTTTGCTCCTATTACAGAGATGTAATTACCCTCGTGCTGGGTACACACACTCCCCACTCCAGCAGCCAAGTAACACCACACAAATCATTTCATCCTTTGTACTCTTTTTCCCCACCGAGCCCCTGGCACTGCTCTACACCCTGGGCCAAGGCTCAGGGTCCCCAGCCCCTTCACCCCAAGGTCCTCACAGACCTGCTGCTTTCACAGCTCTGCCTCCCTCCTCACCCACAGTTTGGGCAGTATATGACTCCATACTGTCCCATCCAGTTCCACACAGCTCCTCTTCTCCTCATCACCCTCCTCTGGGCCCAGATTACTGCTGGCCATCACATCTCCATCTCCTCACACCCAGACACTCCACTCCAAGGCTGTCCAGACATTGGGCTCACTCCAACCCTCCCCAAGCCCTGAGTTTGCAGCACCAAGAAATTCCAGCAGCTGCACAAAATCATGCCAAGCACTGCTCAGGGCTGTGCTCCTTGCTCATTCCTCCTTCACAACCTCCTCAGCAGCTTCCCATCTCCTCAGCCCTGCACTCCCAGCCTTGTTGGTGACTCCACAGCAGCCTCCCCACTGCCCAGAACAGCACAGCTGACCTGCAGCAAGCCCCCAGCCCCACATCCTCTCCTCCTGAGGCTCCTCACTGCCCAGAACAGCTCCTTCACAAGTGCCTCTGCTCCACCACACTTCCCAGTGCCCTTTGCTGAAAAACCACATAATCCCAGGCTTTTGCTTTACCTGGAGCTAACGTCAATTCACAGAATGTGCTGGCAGCTGGGATGCTGCAGGTGAGGCTGTGCTGCTGGGGCTTTTCTCAGCATGAAATCCTGGTCCTGGAGCAGCCAGCAGGGTCAAGCACCCCCGCCAGCACGCCTGGGTGCTGCTTTCTGTGTCCCTCTGGAATGCAAGGCTTCACTGACACAATCCACTCACTTATCCCCAGCACATACATGGAGAAATAAGTATTGGAAAAAACTGCCCAAGGATGGGGCTGAGACTTGACAAACAAATGGGACAGCTCTGGGCTCTCCAGGGCATGGACCTCGTGTCCTGTCCCCATCACAGTTCCTCCAACCTCAGCTCTACACCCAGAGCTCAGCTGACCACGTCCTTCTGTTTGCATGCATCGTGCACTCCTGTGTTTGGCACAGACAGGAGAACTGGAATGCACAATCCACAGCTCACAGTAACAAACCTTGCACATAGAACAAGCCAAAAGCCTGACCTTTCACAGCTAAGCATCCTGGTGAGAGGTTAGATCTTGTGTTTTCTGATCATCAAACAGGGAGGCATTAGCCAGACAGGGAGAACAAGCTCTTATCTAGACCTGATTTCTCTCCCCTCCAGGGGATCCTGTAGGATATTTCAGTTCTCTCTCGCTCGCTGTATGATTCTTCCCTCCCCCAGCAGCTTGAAATCAGCCAAATTCACAATCTAATCTGGCCAGGAGTCAAAGGGGAGAAAAATCAAGCCCTAATGCAGTGACTTTGAATGGGGAACAGAAGCCAATCAGAAAGGCATTATTGATCCCTGCTCGGAGCACCTCGGTCAGGCAGGGGGAGGCTGCGGGCAGCCGCAGAGCAGAGCTGCCCACCGCAGCCAGCCAGGGCTGCCCTGCCAGGCCTGCAGCGCTCCCGGCAGAGCTCCCAGCGCCTGCCCGGGCTGGGAACCGGCACGACGAGAGCACCCACCGGCCCTGAGCCGCCAGTGGCGAGCACCGGCCCCTTGCGAGCATCTCCGAACCCGGGCGAGCATCACCAGCCCCGGGTGGGCACCACTAGCCCCGGGTGAGCATCACCAACCCCGGGCGAGCATCACCGGCCCTGATCGAGCATCACCAACCCCGGGCGAGCATCACCGACCCCGATCGAGCATCACCGGCCCCGGCTGAGCACCGGCCCACGTGTGTGCGGGAGCGTGCCCCGTGTGCTGCCTGCAGCGCTGTGTTTGTGTGCAAACACTTCCAGAGTGCATCGCCCTGGCATGGGCCCGTCTGCGGGAGCCAGGCTGCTCGCCGGGACGGGCATTTCAGCGGCGTTAGTGCGGGAGAGCCAAGGGCAGGGCAGGGCAGGGCAGGGCAGGGCAGGGTGTCTGTGTGTGTATAGGGGTACCTGTGCCGCACAGCGAGCAGGGACAGGCAGCGGGTGGCTCAGCGCGGGCAGCGGGGCAGGGTCGAGCGAGGATGGCGAGCAGCCGGGCAAGGCTGAGCTCGGCTCTGGGCATCCCTGGGTGCGATCCCGGTGATCCGGCCCGCGGCAGCGCTGGCTCCCGGCTCCTCTGCCTTATGTAACCGCGGCAGGGACGGAGCGCCGAAGGGGGATGCAGACCGGGGGCAGAGGAGCTCCCCGCTGAGCCCCGAAAGCAAAGGGGCCGCGGCAGAAGCTGCACATCCCCGGCAAGGTAACTCCAGACGCCCGGCCGAGCGGCGTTGGCACCGGGCAGGCTGGCCCGGCTCGGGGCTGCCCCGGTGCGGAGCCGCTGCCCTGCCCGGAACCCTCCACAGCCGGCGGGCTCGGGGCGGCGGTACCGGGGGAGGAAAGGAGTCCTAGGAAGTTTAGAGACTCCACATTTTGCAAGGAGTCAGGAGGAAAACATGCTTCCTAAAAAAAAAAAATAATACCCAAACCCATGCAGGATCCCGGCAGCTCCTGTCCCCCTTTGGCTGTGCCCCCCAATCTGCCATCCCGGGCACGGCCGTGCTGCACCGGCACCCCCTTACCTGCCGGCGTCACGTCTGCTGCTGCCTGCCCTGCTCCGGCTCTTCCTCCTCCTCTCCTTCCTCCTCCTCTCTCCCTCTCCCTGCTGCTTGGGGCTCTTTATGGAGATTCATTCATTCATGCCTTCCCATCGGTCCCTCAGCCTTTCCCTGCCTCCCGGAGGCAGACCGTGTGACGCCTCGCCCCTTTCCAGCCACTTTCTGTTGTCACAGAGCGGCGCTGCCCCGGCCCGGAGCGGCGGCCGGGCTGGGACACGCGTGGGCAGCACCGGGCCGGGGCGAGGGGCGTGGGCGGGCGTGGGCACGGCACCGACCCGCCCTGCTGGGTACACACTGTCTCTGGCACCCGGAGCAGCTCGGCCCCACGGCTTTCCGCCCTGCCCATCCCCACGGCGAGCCGCTGCCCATCGCCGCTGGCTCCCACTGAACAGCGGCTCTGCGGAGAGGGCCCGCACTCCCGGCCGCTCCCCGGGCAACCCTCGCCCTTTCTCTCCCTCTCTGCTCGCCCCTCCGTCCTATTCCAGCTCGTCTTTCCTTCCCCTCTCCCGCTGCCTCCGCACCCGCGCCAGGACCGCATCCCGCTGCCCGAGCGCTGCCCCATCCCCGGCGCTGCCCGGAGCGCTGCCCCAGCTCGGAGCGGGGTGTGCGGGGCCGGGGCTCACCGGGCACCCGCCAGCCCCGTGTCCTTCCCCCCCCTCCCTACTGAGGCCGCCCCGACCCCGGGGACTCGCTCCTGCAGCTCATGGGGCAAACTTCATCCCTGCCCCAGCCTGGTCCCCCCGCCACTGCCCAGCGCTGCACTTCGGGGGGCTGGGGACACGCTCCCGGTCTCTACAGACAGCACCCCCGCTGCCATGGCAAACCCGGAGGGTCTGGAGGAGTGTGAGCCCTGCTCGGTGTCAGGCAGCACGGCGGGAGGTGCTGACGAGGGATTTTAGATTTTAGGTGCTAAATTCGAGCGGATTGCCTCGTCTCTGCGAAAGCGGAGGGTTATTCTTTCCAGGCAGGCAGGGCGGAAAAATATGCTTTTTAATGACATCGTCGGAAATGTGAGGAGCAGCTCCCGGGTTTTGGCGCTGCCACAGCATCGGAGCGATAAACCCTTAACTTGGGGTGAAACCCCTTAAAAACCTTCCCAGGAGCGCCCCGCCCGCTCCCGTTGAGCCGCGCCGCTCCCGCCGCCGGTGCCACCCCCTTTGCATCGGTGCCATCAATTTCTATTAACGATCGCTTTATTCACCGCTGCAAACTTCTAAATATTTAATCCAGCGCGAAGCGGCGGCGGAACGCTCGAAGCTGACGGGAGGAAGGAGGCGAGTCCCCGGCCGGGGAGGCGGGAGCGGCAGCTCTGCCCCGGGGGAGCCCGGTGATGCCAGTCCCCGCCGTCCCCTCCCTCCCTCCGCGGGGCTTTCCCGGGGCTGCAAATCACAGCCTGGACGTGGGCAGCACCGCAGGTCCCGAGCCGGAAAGGCAGGGATGAGCGGAGGATTCTGTCCAGGGAGAGCTGGAGGAGGAAAGAACTGCGGGGGGACACCCCGGCATCTCCCCGGCACCGGAGGGTCCCGCCGCGCACGGGACGAGCAGCCGCGCTCCACATGGAGCGGGGTGAGAACTGGGGACCGCCGGGGTTTGGGCTGTTGGAAGGATCCTGCCCAAGGAACGGAGGCTGCCCGCATCCCCCGGCATCCCCGGGTTCCACGGACCGCCCCGCCGCCGCCCTGAGCACCCCCAGACCCGGCCGAGTCTCGTTTAAAACACAACCAAAAAAATTATTTGGCAACTCGGCTGCGCCGACGGGCGAGTGCCCGGTCCGACGGGCGAGTGCCCGGTCCGACGGGAGAGTTTGCCGGTGCTTCGCGCTCTGCTTGTGTTCAGGAACCGAGACGGAACTTTACGGCAACATCTGTCATTATAATTAAAACTGCAACACACCCTCCGGGAAGGAACGCGTTCCCGCGTCGTCGTGTGTCCGTACCACCCCCCCCCTCCATACACACACACACACCTCCACTCCACCGCCACCCTTTTCTAAAAAAAAATACAACAACCAACCAAGCGAAAGCGGCTCAAACTCTCAGGCGGGCACATGCCCCCCGCCTCCCCCGATCATCAGCAGTCGCACCCGGCGACGTCCCGGAGACCGTCCCCCTCTCCGGAGCACGGACACCCCCCCCCCGCCCTCCTCCACTAATTTTCTTTAATTAAAGCTCGATGTGCGGCGCGTTCGGCGAGGAGGACAGAAATAGCCGCCGAGGGAGCGCGTGTGGGGGGAGGCAGGTCCCAACTGCCGGCGTGGGAAGGCAGAAGGGATTGGGGGGGCGGGGGGAGCGGAGCCAGGGAGCGGCTCTGCCACCGCTCCCACCCCGAGGTTCGCAGCCTCCAGGGTTATTTGGGGTGAGGGGACGGTCTCCCCCTGTCCGAGCGCTCCGTGCGGCGCTGTGGCGACCCGGGCGGCAGACCCCTGCCCCCGCGGCGATGCTGCTGCCCGCGGCACCGGCTCTGCCCCCGGAGCACCGGAGCTCCCCGCAGGCAACAGTTGCAGGGACGGCCCCGGGGGATGCTCCGGCTCGGAGGGAGACCCCGAAGTGGGGATCCCCCCTGGGCGGGGGAGGGAGCACGGCCCGAGCGGCCGCAGGGGTTCCCGGCTCCGCGGCCCCGGAGCGGCTCCGCTCCCGATCTCCCGCTGCCCCGGGGATGAGCACAGCGGGGCAGCCCCGGCCGAGGCGGGGGACTCCCCGCCCGCGGAGGGGAGGGCGCCCCGCTCCCCCCGCCGCCGGCCCCGCGCTCCCCTCCCTCCGGAGCCCCAGCCCGGGCTGCAGCCGCCAAAAGTTTGGCGACACGGAACGGCCAGCGGGGGCCGCGCGGGGCTGCGGGCGGCGCGGGGCGCCGCGGCGGGGCGGCAGCGGGCGCGGGGCCGGAGCGGAGCGGGGCGGGGGGCTCCGCTCGGGCTCGGGGGCGGCGCGGGGGGCCCGGCCGGGCTGCGGCGGGGGACGCGGGCGCGTTTACCTGCTCCGGAGGCGGCTCCCGGCGCTCGGCGGCGCGCCCAGCCCCGAAGCGCGGTGACGGGCGGCGGACGCACCCGCGGCTGCGGCTCCCCGCGCCCTTCCGAGCGGGCGGGCCGGGGGCAGGAGGCGGGCAGGGAAACGCAGCCGGAGCCGAGCAAATCCCAGCGCTGGAGCCCGGCCTCCGAGAAGAGAAGGGCTGCAGCTCCTCACTGCGTCAGGCGAAGAGCCCTGCCCGTGCAGGCGGCGCCGGGCAGCGCTGCCAGGCCCGGGGGGCTCCGCCGGCACGGCTCGGCACGGCTCGGCTCGGCTCGACGCGGCTCGCCTGGGACGGGATGGGCACGGCGCGGCTCGGCTCGCTGCGGGCCGGGGGCAGGGGTGCGGTGGGGCACGGCACGGCTCGGCTCGGTACGGCCTAGCACGGTCCGGTACGGCTCGGCACGGCCGGCTCGGCTCGGTTCCGGCTCGGCACGGCACGGATCGCTTCGGGAGAGCTCTCTGGGGCTCGGTGACGGCCCGGAGCCATAAACGGCTCGGCCGGCAGAGTCGGGCTGGCACCGGGGGCTGTGGGTGACACTGTGAGTGTGACACGGGGTGTGTGACACTGTCTGTGTGACACCGCGCGGCACCGTGTGTACACGACACTATATTTGTGTCACTCGCATGTGTGTGACACTGCCTGTGCGAGTGACACCTTGTGAGAGCAGGGCTGTGAGTGTGCAGGGCTTGTGAAGGTGTGAGTGTCCGAGTGGGGACATCTGCCTTTGTGTGTGTGTGTGTGTGGTGACACCCTGAGGGGGTGCGGGGGTGATCGTGTTGGCTGTGTGAGTGTGTGTTGGGGTGTGTGTCTGTGTGTTGGGGTGTGTGACTGTGTGTCGGGGTGTGTGTATGTCTGTGTGTCGGGGTGTGTGAGTGTGTGTTGGGGTGTACCTGTGCAGTGGGAGGGTGCAGGGTCCGGGCTGTGTCTGTGTGTCTATGTGTGTCAGTGTGTCTGTATTTACACACACGGGTCTGTGTCTCTATGTGAACATCTCTGTGTGTCCCCATGAGTGCATGACATCCACCCCACCCCTCACACAAAACCTGAACCTCCGTGGGCCAAATCTGGGCAGCACCAGGTGATGCTGAGAGCACAGAGACTGGGACTAGCCCTGACACTGATGGAGCTGGACCACGACCCCTGCCCACAGCTCCCAGGGATCCCCAGCCCCTGTGCTCAGCCCTTTCCAAGCATCCCCCTGCCTCAGACCTCCCCTCCCCTGTCCCACAGACTGCCATCCTGCCTCCCCATTTTGGGCAGGTTTTTTATGCTGTTTTAGCAACACAACGCACCTTTAATCAGGATGATTAAAGTGTGGCTGGCACTGGGCTGGCCCTTGGAACAGAAGTGCTCTTCTCTCTCCCCAGGCGCTGTCATTTGAGGTAAGGACTGGCCCGTGTATTTTTTTGTGATTGTTTTGAGGTGTCTCAAACCATCTCCAAAGCCACCTCCCAGCCAGTGATTTCCTTTTGCAGCCCTGTAAGGAGGTGGAAGAGGAGAAAGAAAAGGATGGGTGAAGGAGAGAAATTTTACTCCTTTCAATTTAATAGCAACAACACCAACGCCACCACAGCCAAAAAACCTGAAGCGTGGAGTAATAGATCTGGGAGAGAGCCTGGGAACAGGCAAGTGATGGCCCCTCTCCAAATGGCAGCTGGCAACCTGGCACAGCACTCAGCTGCATTAGAGACACAGCCCAGGGAAGTGCCCATGGGAGTGCAGGAGATACCCTGCACGATGGAGAGGATGGGCATGGAGAATGCATCCAGCATCCTCTCTGGCACGGCTGTGACCCTGTACCCAGGGGCTTGCTCTCTGGGTGAGCAGGTTGATATGAGGTTCTTCCATTCCCCTTCACCATTGCTCACGCCCTCGAAGCATGGAAAACCCCTTCCTCCCTGGAGCAGGGATATCCCATTCTCCCACATCCCATGGGATGCCCTAAAGGCAAGGAATTCCCACTGAAATTGCTTTGGACTCATAAATGCCCAGGCAATGACATGAAATAGCAGGGGCCACCATAAGGGTAGCTCTGGGGTCAAATGTCCTCCTGGGGAGATGACAGATAAGAGGTCCCATCCCTCCTCTGCCTTTGCTGGAGAAGAAACAGA